AACATTGCACGTGCATATGTGTGAAAACAACTTAAGATTCAGCAAAAGTTAGTCATTCTCTGTGTAAAATCCTAAAACCTGTTTGTTGCCCTGTGTGAATTAGTGATGTATTTGCTTAAAAAGACGAAGTCCGGCCTTTTTCTGCAGTAGAAGCAAACAACTAATTACCTTCTTGAAAAGACCATTTGCTGCTAAATTGTTTGCTGCTGGTTTAGCATCGGCACGCTCCGCACATGTTGGAAACATGGCCTTGTTGTGTTATTAGCTGTAGTGAGGAGGAGGAGGAGGAAAAAGAGGGCGCTTGATAAAGATGAACGTCTCCCCGGCCCATCTGGAATCCATCACTTTCAAGAGCAGTTTAGAAGCAGATATGGTCTGAAAAAGTATGTGCTCCTGCTTTTGTACCAGGCTCAATAAAAGTACCTGTTAAGCCCTCCTTCCCCGAAGAAAGTGAGTCCTGTTATCGGTCACCATTTACGATCCCTCTTGCCTCTTTGAACCAGTTTGGATTCTGCCTTATGTAAAACAGCCCGACTGAAGCAGCTTCATAAATCAACCCGGACCATCATCAGCAGGAAGTTAGGAAGGGTACTTAAACAACCAAACTTTTTAAGGATTAGTCTCTCAGCGCTGAAAGATGAAACTCGACGTGTTCGCCTCCTTCAGAGCAGAAAATGAATTCATCAAAATGCAGCATCGTGATGCATCAACGTACTTGTTTACTGACGGATGTGAACTTCAGAAAATGCTCTCTTCACTCTGAATGTGTCAAGAAGGATACGTATCAGGAAACATCCCACCCAAATACAGAACGTAATATAAAACCGCATCTTAAGGATTCTTGCTCGACTCGACCCTGCTTGATCTTCCTCTTTTCCCCCATCGCTCAGACGTTGGCGTCAAAAGCTTAGATTTAGGGGGGAAAATCGGATCTAGACATGTAAACAAATATAGTGAAAACAGGGTGGCAGACCACAGAAACAGGAAAGCCCAGGGATGCACATGCACGCACTGAGAAGGCAGAGAGGAGCGTGCCTTATTCAAGACTGCACAGTTTTTTATATTTGTGATGTTGGCCTGCATTTGTTCACATCTCTATCAAAACCTCGTGTTCTTTCTCAGAGCGAAAACCTTTGAGATCTGCTGACAACTTGAGAATTTCCCTTAAAAAGTCCTGATATGACAGCGGCCACGGCGACAGCTTCTCGGTCTGGCCTACACTCCTTCCTGTTCCTCGGGATCCGTCGCTCAGTCCTTCAGTGTGTGCGCTCGAGTGGGAGAAAGACAGGCGTGGAAAGGTTCCCCCACATAAAGAGGCCTTTTCATCGAGAAGTTTGTAGAGGATAAATAAACCTCTTCAGAGGCGCAGAAAAAGATGGGGTCTGTTAGCGGCACGTTAGCGGACAGCGCGCGGTCCTATCTCAAAGACAGACTTTATATTATTCTGAAGGGCTATTTGTTATGATATTGAGCCGCGAGGGTTAGAAGGGCCAGGAGGGCAGGGGTCTCTTGATTTATGGAGTGACTGTCCAGCCTGTACTGCACAAATATACGCACACATATCAGAACCCACATCCACTCTAGCACACACACTCAAAAACACACATCACACATTGCTTCCAGCTGGCTGCAGGTTCCGTTGGGAGATTTCCACCCTCAAACACACACACAGACACACACACGGCAGGAAGGTCTAGATCAGGGGTGTCAAACACCAGGACCCAGAATCGTCCCTGCAAAGACGTCCAACTGGAGAGCTTCGGTAAATGTGAAAGAAGGCACTCATTTTCAACATTTAACTGTATTTTCGTAACTTTTATAGCTTTATCTTTACTGATAAAGACCTCCCATATGACCATTCATGCGGTCGGTACCAAAGATTACACAGTGTATCTATTGGATACACTTCTTCTGTAACTCAACGCATTTGTTTCTTACAGTTTGAGAGTCGTGCTGACAGATTTCTTACTACAGCATTTATCATTTAAAAAAACTGAGGTGTACTGTTGAAATTGCACTTCTTTTTCTTGTATCTAGGATATCTCAGTGATTGACTGTGTTGTTAAACTTCTTTACACTGACAGAAAGGGGAGTTTCACTAATATGGAAGCCTGTTTCCGCCACAAAAAAAAAAGGATCCATAACTCAAAATTTTGAGTTACTTTCTCGAAATTTCGACATATTAACTCGAAATTTCGATTTATTAACTCAAAATTTTGAGAAAAGCAACTCGAAATTTCGAGTTAGCGCTGCCAATCAGTAATCTACGTGAATGACGTCATTTCCTTGTTACCCGGAAGCTGAAGCCCTCAGCTACAAATGCTACAGCTAAGCTACCGGTATTACATCCAGTCGTGAATGCACAGATTGCTGAGTGTTTTCAGCCTTTCAGATGCAGGGAACCACGTGAGACGCTGTGGCCGAGTTTTACTTCATTCTGCTGAATGAAATGAATCAAACTACCTTTGATTCGTTTTTTATCTTAACTTGTATGCAGGAAAAAAGTGCCCGAGCAACACCCTGCTTCACATTTAGTCACTTCCATAAGCACCCACCCAGACACTGCCTATTAAAACCCCATTCTTCCACAGCTAGGCACACAGCAGCCGGATTTTTTTTTCTTTAGGTTATCAGCTGCTAATTAAGGAATATTTCTCTGTGACTCACCACCACGAGCACATTTTATTGCCGCTCAAAGAGCCGTCTCTTGTCAGTGTGATCAAACACATCACTTCACGTAGGAGAAGTTTCACTTGAAAGGTGCAGCGTGGAGACCCGGGTCTCCACCCGAGCTCACCGGCTGGTACATCTGTCCTGAGAGGTTGTGCAGCCGGCACGGCGTGAGGCTTTTTCAAACCAAAAATCCACTTTTTATTCAAAGCACTTTCCAAATCTGCATTTCAAAGTGCAGGATCTGAGAAAGAAACACATATTTGGTCATTGATAGTGACTAAGAAAAGGGTTCTTTGCTCCTTTGTGCAACATCTGAAAAATTGAGGGTTTTTTCCTCCCTTAACGTCCAAGAAGTATATTTTTTCTTTGTTTTGCTCTTTCTGTAAATTGGATTTGTTTAGCCTCTGGTGGTGTAAACATCCAAGTGGTGTGCAAATGTTTGTCCTATCCATTTTCCCCAGGATCAAAGTGAAAAAGGAAAAAAGTATTGTTTTGCAAGCTGGATCACATGAACGCCTCGCCTTGCTATTAACAAATCCTAATTAAATAAACTTTACTGCTTAATCCAGATTTTTCTCCACTAAAGCCATAGCCTGCTTAGAGTAGATTTGTACACATTATGAATATTACCAGTTTTCTGGAAAGAAGGGCAACTTTGTGGCATGTTTTAAGCCTGTATGCTAATATTGGCCAATCCTTTTGTATATATATCAAAACTTTAGCACATAAAAGTGAGACTCTTTGAATGGTTGCACATTATTGTGTGCAAGAAATAAAAATGGTTCTAAACCAAGTCAGTGCCTCATACAAAGAAACACTTCTAGCTGCTGCTGCTGCTCATTCAGAGCTGCCATACGAGGTTGTGCTCGAGCGCTCGCCTTCCATAAAGCACAAGTGAGCTATGAGTCTCTGGAGATTATTATATCTATGTCATAAACCCAAATTTCCCATGTTTTAAGACCTGGAGATATTCTGTGGCCTGTATTCTGCGTTTGTTCCATAGCCATTCATTCATTCATTCATGCTGGGCTTGGATTTATGCGTTCGGCACTGTTGCCTCAGTGTTTTTCTTCTCCTGAATGGACCTTTTTTTTGTTTGAACAAAAAGCATTGTAAATGCGGCTGTCAAAGCCAGAGGCTACGCAGAGAACTGCACAGCGGCATTCAGCACATTGACTTAATATCTCCAGGATTTTTTAATGGGTCGATGGATGCAATAAGACAGAGAAAAAGACGCACAAATCATCTGTCCCGTTCATTTTATTTATGATCCGCGCTACATGGGAGAAATGCGTTGGGCTTGTTGACTCCACCACATTTCTCTAATGGCTGAAGTTGCTTTGTGCGTTACTTGTTTAAGTTTAATATCAGGGTGATAGTTAGTAAATTAATTGGCCTTTTTTTAAAATCATGGAGCGTTTCTCCAGAGGGCTGCGTTCACGATCGCTGCTTGAGTAACATCGTTGCCCTTTTAGCGGGTCAACAGTGGGTGTATTTGCCATCGCAAATCACACTCTTAACACACCTCATTCACTGTTTCCCATGGGTGGGTGGGTGGGTGGGTGTGCACTTGTGCAAGCAAACAAGTGTGCGTTGTGTACTCTGTTGCCTGAGCAGCTCATTCGAAGACTTCTACAGTGGCTACATTCCCGCGTGTGTGAAAGCGTCTGTGACGTCCTCGTAAGTGTCCTAAATGTGTGTGTTTTTTAAAGTGTGTTTGCTTAAATAAGCTAGTAAATAAACCAGTGGGCGCATAAGGCCATCTTTCTTGTGTCTCTGCAATGGGTGATGACGTGTGATTAAGTTCAGAATAAGAAGACATCTCTAATGAGGGGACTGCAGGAGACACGAGGGGAGCCAGAGTTTGTTTATCCAGACGTGTCCCTCCATGTCTCCACCGTCCTCCAGTGGAGGCTGGCATCCTTAGCAAGGCTTGTAAACATGTTGATTTTTCCTTGGCTCTAACCAAGCTGGCTCACGGAGCTCGCGGAGTAAATGAGCTGGTGTTTGACCAGGGCCAGCTGAGGAGGAGGCGTGGAGACGAGGGAGGGAGGGGTGAGGGTGGGGAGGTCATTTCCACACAGATCTGCATACTCGACAATTAAAAAAAAGTTGCACTTTTCTGACTCTCAGGGTCAAATTACTTAATTCTGCTACTTTATTGCTTTTTTGAAGGTTGATATGGGCAGAGGTGTCCGATCTTGCTTTATTATCAGATTGTTTTTTGACTTAGAGGTGAGGCTAAATACTGACCCCGTGCATGAAGTTGATTGCATTTATTAAAAATTTCTTCTTACATAAACCATTCCTTCTTTTTTTGTTTGCAGAGCCTGTATCCAGCGAGACGGCCTTCCTGGAGGACTATGTTCTGGGCATCGGGGACACTCTGGAAATGTCATGTGACCCGGAAGAGCAGGAAGACCACACGGAGCCTATTGTGTGGTTAAAAGACGGCGCTGGACTTGTGCCTTGCAACCGGATACGGTTGGGCCAGAGGATACTCCGCATTATCAATGTGTCGTATGACGACTCCGGGGTCTACTCGTGCCACCTCGCCCGGAGCAACACGCTGCTCAGCAACTACACCATCAGGGTGACAGGTGAGAGCGTGGGGAAAGTGTGTAGAAAAGACAAAAGTTGTTGAGTATCTGAAAACTCTGAGTAGGGCCATCTAGCCTTATATTTAAATGCAAAAGTGGAAGGCAGATACGTTAACTGTTGAGCTTTAAATAGGATACGAGACCCACAATATTTTTAAGATAGTTGAGTTACTAGCAGAGCTCCAGCAGAAACAGGCGCTTTGGCTGCACCTCGCAGAGCTCTCTGAAATCCGACCTGTCTCGGTTGTTCTGCCTGTCTGACAGACAAACCGAGTCTGAAAGTATTTTCTATCAATAAATATACTCAAACAGTTACAGTAGCGCTGTCTCTACATGACAGCTGTTTATAGAGAAACACTGAAAACTTAGCTCAGGAGGAAATTTCTATTATTTGCTACTCCTGCTCAGTTTCAGCTCCATGTCATCTGCCTGCCAAGCTGCACACACACACACACACACACCAACACACACACAAGCACATATCCAGCATACCGGTACAGGCTTTCACCAGCTAACACCCAGCCAAGCTTCACACAGATTCCCACCTCCTGATGCATAGTCAAAGGTGAAATTCATTATCCGGCGAGGGGATGGGAAACATTTTAAACAAGTGTGCGATGCAAGCGGAGCTCTAATAGGAATGCTTGTGTAGGGGGTGGGGGAGGCTCTGTGTGTGGGTGTGTGTGTGTGTGCTTAAAAGTGGAGCCGCATTTACCCGTAAAACTCATGGACACCAACTGAGCCTGTTATTGACAACTAATTAGAAAGCAATTAGCTTGAAACATTTCATCATTGAAAGCAGATGGGGTGGCAAGAAATGAGAGAGTTCACTCTCAGCTCACTCACCCCACCTCCTCACACACACACACACACACACACACACACACACAGATGCACTTGTTTGGCAGAAAACTGGGAAGAAAATGGGCATTTTCGATTACTGATCAGAGGTGGGCAGGTTCTCCTCCCGGATCTTCGTATCAGCTCCAAACTGCACACCAGGACACTGTGCAAACACAGTACCTTCATCAGTGACTTAAAAGGAAGAATAAGAGGCGTTCTCCTTTAAAATCTGACTTTTTTTTATGAAGAAGTTGATAAATAGAGATAACTGAAGCTGGTTCCACCTCCACTTAACATGTCTCAGGTGTTGCACAGGCTGCCAGTTCATTTCACACTAATGTCTGACATTTCATATTGTTTCGGCTCTCCGTGCATGTTTAAATTACTCAAGAAGCCAGACTTCTTCCAGTATGCGTTTCAGTATCCTGTTTTTTCCCCCCTTATACCGCCGATTCTCCTCCCTCTACTTTAAACATAGAGCCTCCGTTTTATCTAAAACACACATGGACTATTGTGTTTTCCCTCAAATATTTGAGCAAGGTGTCAGAAACTTAGGGGCGGTATCAGATTTAGCACTTGGACAGCTTCCAGGCAGTAGAAAGGGGCCAAATCTCACTGTACACACACAGTACAACTACAAACTGAGGTTTGTACAAAGGAGTGCGTGAATTACTTATTGACAAAAATTCAGTTTTATTTATAAAGCGCTAAATCACAATAAGAGTTGCCTCAAGGTGATTTATACTGCAAGCTAAAGACCCTACAATAATACACAGAAAACCCCAAGAATCTGGTAACCACCTATGAGTAGGCACTTGGCGAAAGTGGGAAGGAAAAACCCTTTTAACAGGAAGAAACCTCCAGCAGAACCAGGCTCAGACACAGGCAGCAACTGCTGCGACCGTTGGGGGTGATGGGCATGACAAAAGACTTATGACTAATGATTAAATGGTTTAAGATTTAATCATTCACTTGTTTATGTGTTTAAGAAACACAATAAACAATAATAGCAAATAACAACGGCTAAAGATGAGCATTTGCACCCATAGACTATGAAGGATGAAGTGGCCTAAACCTGACTTCTTCTCAAAGCCTGCATGGAGCAAATCCTCTAGTTAAAAAGAAAAAGACTCTACTGCTCGCTTGATTTGCGATCTAAGTGAACATTTCTCTTACGAGTTTATGGACTCCATCACTTGTTTCAAGTGCTGTTTAATATAGCGTTAACAAAATCGATCCGAATACAGTAAAATAGACAATAAACTGGGATTTACGATGTGGCTACTTTGTCGGTCAACCTTTTCACGTGATGTCTGATTCCACAGATAACAAGATGGCAGCTGTCAAAATGTTTAAGGTGGTTACGTCCATCCTTTATGTCCAGTCTATGGCTACACTGTATCCTAACTGTATGCTAAAGCTAAACTAATCCTTTCATCTATTGAGGCAGAAGGCTTTAGAGCTTTATAAGTGCACTAAAATACATGTGCCTGCTTTTCTCTATTATTTCTCTCTTTTATTCCAAAGTTTTCTATTATGTAATTCATTTTGACAACCACTATAGTGCGTTAAATACTTGGTTTACTGATACAGTGCTGGCACCCGTCCGATCCGTCAGTCAACTGTAACTGCTGCCTTGCTTCTAAGGTGCAAAGCACTAGCAGAGTGGAGTTGTGGGCTGATGTGTCCAATAATAGAAACAAAACCTGCTAGTTCCAGGAGCAGTTTGAGTTGTCGAGGTAACAGCTGGCTCTCATTAACCAGACCCGTGGAGCTGAACCAGAAAACGTTGAGGTCACATCGAAAATAATTACAGCAGCGGAGTGAAAACGTGTGATACAGCAAACCTAAACAAGATGGAGAGCAAGATGGAAAGTAATTTGGCGTAAACCGGCGCGCTAACCGTTAGCAAGAGTTAGGGTCAGTGTGTGTTGCAGAGATAGCTAGAAAGAATAGTTTTTGTGCGTGTATCAGCACATGCGCGCACACTCTTGTGCAAGTGCGTCTCAGCGACACTAATGACCCTCTTATTTGTACCGTCTGTGGAAATGTTTGGATTGCAATATCTGAGAGAGCTGCCACGCTACAGAGAACTGTGGGCTCATTCATGAGTTTCTGAATGAACAGCTTTAATATGCATTCATGCATCTGTGTGTGTGTGTGTGTGTGTGTGTGTGTGTGTGTGTCTTTGTGCTTGTTTGTCTATTCGTGCTTGTTTGTCTATTCGTGCTTGGTTGTGAACACCCCTTTTCCCTTTATCTTCCTCTTGTTGCATAAAATACATTCTGGTCTACAAACTTTCCACATGTAGTTTCCTTCTTATCCAAAATGCAAAATAGTTCAAGGAGTTGTATAAGAAAATACACTGTATTATGTGTCTTCTCATACAACTGCTGTATTTTTTTAAATGAATTATTGCTCATTTATATTATTTTAAATGAAATAATTTCATTCCAGCCATAAATTAATAATTAATTAAACTCTTTTTTTTGTATTTTCTTTCGTCAGATTCTCTGTCGTCTGGTGATGATGAAGATTATGATGAAGACCCTGAAGGTGCAGGTAATGAAAATGGTGAATTCTTTTCTTAAACCACATTTCACAATCAGAAAGTATGATACGTCTCTCATCAGGAAATGCAGTATTGTGCAAGAGTGTTGAACCAGTCCTCATCTCTTTATAGTTTGCAAGGAAATAGGTAAATGGGTACAGCGATTTCTTGAAACATGTTCAAACATATGTGGAAACACAGAACATAGGCCAACAATAGAGTTTGTAGAATGATAGCTTAAGTCAATATTTATTATGAACACCTTTACTCTGCAATGCCGATTGAACTCTCTTAGTCAAGCTTTCTTTAAGCAGTCTTCATAAATAGTTCTCCAGGATTCTTCAAGGACATTTAAGGTTCTTCAAGGTTCTTTGGTTTGTTCTGTTCCAACCCGTTCTCACTCCCAAAGCGTAACATTTTACGCTAGGTGACAAATCGTCACCATATTACGTTTTCGGCTACCCACCACGTTCCTAAATGACGACCTCGGAAAACAGAGGAAATATGAGAACCCTCTGGACTGAATCTACACATGTTCGCTCTTTTTCTTCAAATCGCTTAGAAACACGCTATTTAACATCATTAAAGTCCTGGTTAAGGTCAGGAATAAGGTTATGGTTAGGGCTAGGGATAAGGTTAGGTTTAGGGCTGGAATACAGGGCTGGAACGTCTATTACCGCGGGAGCGTCATTGCACTGGATTCCAGCCATAACCCGCCGCGTACCCTAAGAACGCCGAAGGTCTCCTTTCGCGTTCCTCAGGAACGCCGCGGGACGAGACAAAACGTCGACATGTTACGCCTCGGGAGTGAGAACGCTCTGTCTGTTCTCTGTAAAGATGATTCCACACTGCTTCAGTAATGCTGAGATCAATAACTGCATGGTGGGTCAAAACCTGATGGTACTTTTCTGCTTTTAAAGCTCCATCAATTTTGATAAGATCTCCAACAGCACTGGTTGAAATGCAGCCCTAAACATGACAGAGCCTCCACCGTGCTTTAGCTTTACACATCCGTCCTCACCTGCTCCATATATATGATGTAAATTTGAACCGAAAAGTTTTAAATTTGGATTTGTCACACCATGAGACCTGCTGCCACCGACTGCCAGTAAAGTTCTTGTGTAATTTGCCATACCTCAGTTTTTTCCTCTGTTTCCTTCCATAAAAATTCAATTTTATTCAGTTTTATTTATACAGCGCCAAATCACAACAACAGTCGCCTCAAGGCGCTTTATATTGTAAGGTAGACCCTACAGTAATACATACAGAGATAAACCCAACAATCAAATGACCCCCTTTGAACAAGCACTTTGGCGACAGTGGGAAGGAAAAACTCCCTTTTAACAGGAAGAAACCTCCAGCAGAACCAGGCTCATTGAGAGAGAGAAGGAAGACAGGATGAAAGACATGCTGTGGAAGAGAGCCAGAGATGAATAACAAGTGTGATTCAATGCAGAGATGTCAATTAGCACATAGTGAGTGAGAAAGGTGACTAAAGAAGAAATACTCAATGCATCATGGGAATACCCCAGCAACCAAAAATGGCATCAGAAATCAACACCATTTCTGATGAGGCTTGGAGGAACTGAAGGGCCAAATGCATCTTTAAGGTCCTGTGTCAGATATTTATAAAGTTATAAATTCCCTATGTCGTACATAAATGAGCTCTTCATATTATTTACACCACACTTGCACCTTTATCCTCAGAAGTTAATGTGCAGTTTACAATTTAAACTCATTTCATTTGTCATAGTGATAAAAGAGTTCATCTGCAGGAGCAACATCACGTCCCCACAAAGTTGCTTTTATGGGCCACTGTGTGACTACAAATGGATTTATGCAGGCTTGTATGAGCGTAATCAGAGTTGTATATCTGTAATTGACATTATATGGCTCTTATAATCGCTCGCATTAAACCTTCCCCCACAAGCACAAAACTAAATGCCACTGTCGCACAGATCAAAGGCTGCTGTTTCTCCAGCAGGTAACAGCCCCTCTCATTGCTCTTTTGTGATGTGAGCTGTTTTGGCATTCAGAGACCTGCCGAGTTCAGGTGTAGGTGAACAAAGAACGAGGAGGGATGGCTTTCACTGGCTGCACACACTTTACACGCTCTATTCTGTCAGCTAGCATGACTCCAGAGAGACAGAAAGCACCTCCACCCCTCTCGGCAAGCTCTCGACCAGCCAGACGCCACACTGTGCTGCCTTTGTTGTACCATACGGAGCGAGACAGCAGAAGGTGAGGTGCTGACAGTCAGAGACGAATCTAAAAAGTGAGAGGAAAGAGTTGATGGAACTACAGTAATAAAGGGAAGACAATGGGATATAAGTGAAGGGTAAAAGATAGAGTGTAGGATGCAGAGACGAAAAAAGGGGGAGTCAGCAGACTGTATAAAAGTGAAAGCCCAAAACATGCTAACGATGTCAAACAGACCATGATATGTTGAACCAACTCCCAGTCCACCCTTAACCACTCAACAAAATTGGTGCCAAAAGCAAAATGCGCAACTGCTTCAGTGACAGAGCGACAGGCGCACGTCCAGCCGAAATCAAAGCCCCTTTGTGAAAGTCGCTACAAAGATCCAACCAAATCAAACGTCGTCACACTCAGCTCAAACTAAAATAAAACTGAAGCTGAGGCAATGATTGTGGGAGATACTGCCGCTCCTGAAACTCTCAGTGCCCCGTGGTCATCATTAACAGTTCACCCAATCGTTTGTTATCCAGCTACAACGATTGCATGGCGAGAGATGGATCGGGAAGGGGAGATGAACTGGTGTTCAAGAGAAACAAGAAATTTTAAATTTTCTAAAATCATGTGAAAAACAAGCAAAGCTATTCCACGGAAATATAAATGTGGCCACTCCAGAACCAACAGCAACTAGGTGTATCCAGAAAATAAATAAGAATAATGCTTTTTAAAGTGATCTGGAATTAAGATGGTGCTCATTTAATGATTCTGGGGAACTTAGTTGCATCTTATACCAGTTTCTAAATGTTTGACCTGAGGTCAGCTTACAAATGTTTTACTTTTGTCAATATCAACATTTAAACTATTAAACCTACTCAATATGTGTGAGAGACTCAAACCTAATATTGCTTCGTTTTCATGTTTGACTTTTAATCTTTCAGACTTGATTCAGTTCGACTTAAATTAGAATTGATTTAACTGATTGCTTTTATCCAGAGAGATAGAAAAAATGAACAAAATAAATACGTTTTCTTAAAGAAAACTTCCCGATGCGGTCTTTGTTGGAAAAGCTTGCTAACAGCTTCAGCGTAAAATCTCTGAATGCACAGCTTCACGTCGCAGTGAAAGCCTGCAGTGTGTTTTTTCTAAACGGGCTGAAGTGGCAGAGGCGGTAACAGCTTACGGCAGACATCCTGAATGCCGGTAAATAGCCTCAGACTGCCAGACTTAATCTCTTAAAGTAAGTCTACCTCATGACATATAAGGCTCTGATTTCCTGACCAAAAGCAGAGGGATTAGCCCAGAAACTTTAAACCCCTATCGCCGCTTAATGTCCGCAAAGCCAATGCTAATTAGCCAGCTGTAGCAGGAAGGAGCCATGTGACAAACCACACAACCAGACAGAGTCCCCGAAAGAAGATCCACATCTACAAGCTGAGCAGACGATAACAGATATGTGGAGATGGTGAAAATGTCGGGGTATTAATGAGAAGAGAGGGCGCAGGAAACAAGGAAAGCAGGCAGCATTAACCTGACCACTTTAAGAAAAAGTTTCCAGCTGGGGAACTAAAATATTTACTGAGTAATTATTCATCAATGAGAGTTGCATTGTTGCTGTCGGTAGGCTTCTTTTGTTAGCCTCAGCAGCATTTTGAGATATTGAGAGTGAACAAAGGTGTCAGGGAAACAGGTGGCCTCCTCTGTGCAACACATGTCCAAATTAATTAGCGGTACCTTTGCAGCTGAAACAGCGTGGTGTGCATTGTTTTCAACATGTATTTCTGTGTTTGTCATCTTTGCAATTTTATGGTCTTGGAGACACAAATTTAGCAGAAACCAACACAGAGACAGTCTTGATTCATTTGCCAGGTGCTCGTATGAGAGGTTTTCTCAATAAGATGTGGATGTAGTCACGCAGTTTTGCAGGTGGATTTGAGAACAAGCTGAAGGTTGCATTCAAGGACGAGTGCGGTCCGACCCACGAGTTAAGAGCGCTTGAAGTGGGGAGGAAGAGGCCCTACCTGTATGATGACCTACATGATCTTTAGAGCGTGGCCCTAAAGAAAACTGTTGGAATTAGAGCCAAGGTGCTTTCAAGGACTTTGCTGTCTGTGGACTATTTTTGCAGTCACAAAACTTGTGTAAAGTGACCAGAGCGATGCCAACTTCAGCAATGAGTGCGCAAGAACCTACCACTCGAATCTCTCAGACCTGACGTTTGATCTCTCAAAATATGCGTAAAAACTTGAAAAAACATTTTAAAATGGAGTGCCCTGAAGATGCTGCGCTGACAGATGGGCAAATACAAAGTGAGCAATTTTTGAACAGCCGTCCGCCCTCACACGATGAATGCGAATTGAGTGTGTGAGTATTTTTTGCAGCATGGAAAGCAGCGAACACACTTGGAGTCTGTGCGAACTAAAAGGGCAGCGTGTATGTGAGCGAGGGTGGGAGGGTTAATCTGTGCTGTGCTCCTGAGCTATGCAGCCTCCTTGTTTACCCTGGCAGGAGAGCAGAGAGCTGGACGCCGGGCCACGCTACGCTGCTCCACAGCCGCCATTCCTCCTGCTCTGTTTGCCTTGAGTCCCCGCAGGCCCTCCAGGGCAGTGTGCCTTCAAAGAGCCCCAGTGTAATCTGTAATGAAATCTGCCTGTGTGCTCGCAGGCGTCAGTGAGGGCAAATTATACAATTACACAATTAGACCCCCCTTTTTTTCCCCAGATCGGTGTCTGAGCGCTGAAGAGGCTTGTGCCGTGGCGATCAGCACTGCACTGTGTCGTGCTCCAGCTAATTGCTGTTGTACTCAACATAGCTGATAGAGGAGCCACAGTCATGCTTCTCCAACCTGCAGCACAGATCCATGAGCCAGAAAGACGTGAGCGCAGGGCTGCAGGGGGCTGTATGGCAGTCGGTTGTAATGTGTATGGAACACTTGCAAAGGCAAGGCATAATTTAAGCAAAGCCAAAAAAGCAGAATTTAATCTTATTCTTTTTGTTAACACAATCAGCACTCAGGGAGTGCATAGCTCTGCTACATTTGCAAGATATCCGTCCTTTAACTAAGAAGTTTATGAGAAACTCTTGAAAATTCCAATTCAGTTCAGTTTTCTTTAGGCGCTTTATATTGTAGACCCCAACAATCATAGGAACCCCTATGAGCAGGCACATGGCGACACTGGGAAGGAAAAACTTGCTTTTAGCAGGAAGGAACCTGCAACAGAACCAGGCCCATCGAGGGGCATGGGGAATGGTTGGGGGTGAGACAGACATTAATAATGACTAATAATGAAATGTAGAGCAGTGTATAAACACAAAGTGAGTGGAAAACAGGTGAGTGAAGGAGACTCACAGCATCATGAGAAGCAGCCTAGGCCTATTGCAGCGTAACTTCAGGGAGGATTCTAGGTCACCATATCCTCCCTAATTAGAAAAACAACATAATAATAATAATAATAATAATAATAATAATAATAATAATAATAATAATAATAATAATAATAATAGGGGAAATCCCAGCTCCAGACCAAAAAGTGGACGGTCTTCCTATGTTAGTTTGTGCTTTTTGCACAATATTTTGCACCATATCACTGAGTTTGAGTCTTACCTTAAGGGCTGCAGCCGCAATGGGGAAGAATATACCTGCTGACAATGTGACACTTTGTGTGCCTGCAGAAACAACCCCCTTGACTGATCTCTACCCCTTCTGTGTTGGTGGGATTTCTCCAGCCACACTTTGAAATCTGTTATCAAACATGAAGCAAGCAAAGCGGATCACGCTCGTGTATTTATAGGCTCCCAGAGAGATTCCCCTCGCAGTTAGCCTCCGTGTCTGACAGGTGGGCATGACACTGTAGCTGCTGAGTTGTGCTAAGATGTTATTGTAAACCAGTTTCCACTACAGCGACTGCATATCCGTGCAGGGCAGGGTTATCTGTCGAGTCCCTTCTAACCCCCGTCTGCGAGGGGTTGAGGGGTGCCAGCCCTCCCCTCCTCCGTGCCTCCTCGCCTCCCTCCCAGAAAATCCCACTCCCCTCTGCTGCTGAGGAAATACCATCCTGCCAATTAGACACGGGATGGGATTCCTGCGTGTTGCTGAGCATACAGAGCAAGGCTGCGCAGTAAATCAAAAGCATGCTGAAATCAAAATATCGACGGCTTTTTCTGAACTGGAAAAGGCTGCGGCTCTTTCACTTTTTTCCTTCTGGTGGAAAGTGTCTGCATCAGCTCTCTGAAAAGTAAGCTGTTTTAAGAATCGGCAGAGCCAGCATATCGTATTTTTGAAGCACCAGAAAGAAAGCTTTTCAGTCTCGCGAATAAAAAAGATTTTTTTTTAAACTGTTAAATCACCGTCCCCGCTTAATCACGGCATAATTTCACGTGGAATAAACATTTGTTTCGGCAAGCTACTAATTCGCTTAATGGTTCACAGGAGGTGATTGTTACATCTGGAACACGTTGAATGAGAGGAGACTTGCTCGCATGAGCGACAAGTACAACAATGGGCAACAAATTACGAGAAGATTTCAAAAGCTTCATCCAGACTGCCTGACTGACGGCTGATCTCCTGATTCCACAGAGGAGAGCGTCAGTCAGAGCAGCTGAAGGTCCGCGAATAAAACAACCTTCGTGTGTTATGGTGACAAAACCACGGAGACTCCTTTAGTCCGTCCTGTGAATCCACCTAAGCATCTATTTTGGGTTATAAGCGTCATTGTGGCTGAAGGATCAGCAGCAGGAATATGTTTTCAGGCCCAGATGAGTTCAGGACCCACAGCAGCAGCAGCAGGGGAAGGAGGAGGATGAGGAGAAGGACCACACATTGGGTTAGAGACTTGTTTAAAACCTCACTGAGCGTTTCTGTTTGACTGAGTGTGTGTCTGTGTGTCAGTGTGTGTGTAGGGTGGCTGATTACCATGCCAAAAAACAATGTGTTCAGACTGCTTTTGGAGGATTGTCCCAGTGTGGAGTGTGGAACTTCGCTCCAGAGACAGAAAAAGAGAGATGGAGGGAGAGAAGTCATGAATTCAAACAGACACTTCCCTTTTAAGGTGGAAGCTGTGTGTGTGTCTGTGTGTATGTGTGTGTGATTGCACGTGGAGGGTGTTTGTCTTTGCGAGCTGGGGAGTCTCTAAGTCAGCCAGTGGTCTGTGTGCTTTATTAGCAGACACACACACACACAGTCTGTTTAGAGGGTTCAGTAACATCCTGTTTGTTTGCTTTCTAAGAAGATAGGTAGGTGTCTTTAATCGCTGAACATCTCTCTCAGTCTGGTTGCAATTACTCTGTGAAGCTGAAGCCAGAGTTTGATGGTAGGAGCCAAAGTGTCAGAAAAGTATCAGAACACCCCAGACATTTGATAAATAGACACACAGTAGATCAAAGGCATTTATAGGTAGATGTTATATCGAACGGTGATTGACATCTCACCTGAGTTGCCAAGATGAGACGGGAATTTGCCCGTTCAGCGCTCGAGGGTGAGAATTACTTTTTAACTATTGCCTGACTCACTCAAATACACACACACACACACACACACACACACACACACACACACACACACACACACACACACACAAGCGCGGCTATTGAGATGGTAATTAGCTCCACTCTCTCCTGCTGCATTTAGAAAGTAAAAGAGACATCTGATGACCGGTCAGCCAACTCCCCAGCTTTTGTCCTGGGAAGCACACACACACACACAGATTATACCAAGAGGAGAGTGAGCAAGCCATGCCTCGTTGCTCTCACTCTCCACACCCACACAGCATGGACAATAGCCCTTCCTGACTCACTACGCTCTCTTTGTCCACCGTCTTCTCAATACAACTCAATAAATCGCCCTGACAGGTTTCCAAACTCTCAAGATCTCATGATTCAGACCAACTCCTCATCTTGTTATAGAGGAAAGATGGTAAGATGGTTTTGTCTGGTCCCCCCGTGACGCTTCATGCGTCCGTTTTGAGCTCTTTCAGCATCCGTCAAACTGTGTTTTACACCGCTGGCGCATCTTCAACTTAACTGTATCTCTGTGGACAGCGAGGAAGGGCCGACGTGGAAGAAAGATTGTTTTATCAGTAAAAAATGAAAAGGTTTCATTCAAACATCCATAAGCAACTCTTCCTTTGGGATATCAAAACAAAAGCCTCATGATTTACTCAAGAAAAACATCTTGAAATCACAAAAAAAGAGCTTAAAATGACTGAAAATGAATCACAGAAACCTAACAGTGTACATGTGTATTAGTCTCTGTAAACACTGCAGGTACTCTGTGTTGTTAGATGAGGGAAGACCTCTGGTGACACCACATCTGTTCTGGTATAGTGCATAACTCATCCAAGATGAAGCACTCGTTTAAAAAAAAGGGCAGAAGAGCAACTTGTCCCATCTGTGCCGTCTTTTAACAATTACAAAAACATGTAACTGTAAATTCCTGGAGGGTCTTTCCCCAAATGTTTTATGATCTAAGAGTAAATGGAAAACCGTAGACAGATCTGTTTGGAGAAAAAAAAGTGGCATCTTCGTATTGCGTGAGTCCGCCTTATCTATTTAATGTCTTTGAAATGGAAATATTTAAAAGTCTTAAGAGTTTTCAATGAGTCTTTTGTGTTTTCCCAACAGAAGCGCCATATTGGACCAGGCCAGAACGAATGGACAAGAAATTATTGGCCGTTCCTGCGGCCAACACCGTCAAATTCCGCTGCGCTGCGTCTGGAAACCCACCACCAACCATACACTGGCTGAAGAATGGCAAAGAGTTCAAGGGAGAGCAGAGAATGGGAGGCATCAAGGTGAGAGCAATAACATGTTAACACCTAAAGGTTAAAGGAGCAGGACTGTGATTTATAGATTCAAATCTTCACACAGCACCAAAAAAATCTGCTTGGAGGAGTCTCATGTTCTTCCCTGTTTGAGCTACTGTCAAAGTGCCTTTTAGCAAGGCATTTTAATCCCCTGCTGCGTGTCCATCAGTAGATCAGTGTGGGTGTTGCAATGTTCCCTGGTGTGAATGTCTATAACTGGGAGACTGTGAAGCAGAGTGCTGAAAGAAACTCACGCTCTGTGAATCTTCTCACGGTAAATAAAGGTCAGGAAACACGCCATAGTCGAGGACAACCCCGGCACTCAGAAACGTAGCCTCCGGATAAGCTGAATATGAATTTAGGGTCAGACCGCTGTGCTGAAATCAGAATGGTTCACAGATACGTGCATGCTCGCGTGATAGCTCAGTGTTGACAGTAACCCAGTGCAGCAGACAGCTGTTGTGCTCAGTTTTGTCATCGGATTCACTCTAAACACTAGGCTCTCGGGTGGAATGGCACTGCTTAAAGTAGCGGGGCTTGGTTTACTTTTGTTTTCCCTTAATGGCCCTGAGCTGCAGAATTAAAGGACAAACTTGGTGTGGTAAGACCATCGGAATTCAAACAGTAAAAACGTGTGTTTTGGTTCAAAATAAACTTCAACCTAATGGCACATAAATTCTAAAATTATGCCCAGAGATGTAAATTCTTTTGAGGGTCATTCAGCCTGTGTCTTATTATTTTGTCCTTCTCATTCTTCTCAGTGCTTTCCTAAAATGATGGTGGGGGGACTGTTTTAGATGCTAACATTCACATATGTGGTGAATTATGTAAGGGAGAGCTGCATTAATTTGTTACTTTCTAACCTGAAATTGCCGTCATTTCAGCAATTATGATTTATTAAAATGTAATCAAGTCATTACTAATGTTCCAGAAAAAAATGTACATGAGGTTTGCCAACATTTAGTAACATTAGCCACCCTAAGTTAATGCTTTGTCTGCACTTCTATACTTAAACTCACTAATTTCAGAGTATTATAGTGCTCAAATTACTAACTGTGGCTACACTGAGGGCTCTAGAAATATCGAATAGTGTCTCCTAAACAGTCACTGTACACGTGGACAAACATTTTTCAGCCAGTTAAAGGAAGTATATATTATCAGATAATGATGGCGTTGTTAGCTAGCCATTACTAGCTAGCTAAGAGCTAGCTAACAAACTTTTTCATTTCGAGGCATTGCAGTTAAAACCCAGTTAATAAATGCAATTGGGTTTTTTATAAGCGTGTTAAACTGTCATCTTCACTGCTAAAGAATTTAGTATTATGTTTTGTGAAAGCACCACAGTTGTGCTAAACGTTAACGTTATTTCTAGATAGCGTTACAGTAGGCTGTCAGAATTCACATACTACACAAGTAGGTATGTAGAGGACATAATACACTAACTGAGAGTGTATTTGCAGAATAATTGCTGAATTAAAAATGAGAAAGAGTGAGGTTAAAGAGTCAACTGAGACAGGTTTTTTATTACAGAAGAGAGGGAAAGTGTCCATTTGAGCTATTTCCTATTACTCTAACATTTCATCTTCCACTTTCAGCGGGGTAATCATGTGTCAGACTGCTATAGAAGCAGTGAGAGACATTTGGCCTTTAAAGAGTTAAATGTAATGAGACTCTTCAGCTATTAACAGTTTACAGAGATCTTCAACATCTGCTCCCAGCAGACCAACAGCAGTTGTCTCCCTCTCTCTGTCCCCACTCTGACACACACACAGATTCACACACACCTGCCACCAGTCCTCAGGACGCTCCAACTTTGACTGGAGTGGTTCCCTGACAGCAACTTTTAGCATGTGTAGTACACATGAAGATTAATGGATGAGAAATTTTGTTGTTAGCAGCAAATTAATCCCAAACTGAGCGCTCAGAGCACTTAGATGTTTAATCCAACTGTTCAACAAATCTCTGAGTTCTCCAAATCCCAGAGTTGTTCTGTACTCACCAGTGTCCAGTTAAAGAGCACAGCGGAGGTGTTTTTAGCATTAAGGTCTGGTCTTAATGTCAGCGCCATCTTTGTATTTTCCTCACACAAACTCAGCCTATGCAGTGTGTATAGCTTGGTGTGTTTGCCCCTGAAGCAGCAGTAACCATTTTGTACACCTTTATGCTTTAATACATGCTCCTATGGGATGCTCCATGTATAGTTAGAGCTCGATATGTATAGCTGCCTCTTCATACTAAGCCTTTACGAAGTATGTAAAGTCACATTGACCTCGGGCTGGCTTTATTTGAGTGTGAGTTGTGACACTAACAAGTCATTAACACAAATTCCTGTACATGCTCTGCTCTGTGTAGCTTGAGCAAAACAACCACTGCTGTGGGTTTAATTGTATCTGTGGCCACTTGTACTCTAAGGATAAAATGATCCAGTGGAATGGGACGTTGTAGTTGCAGTACAAGCGTAGGGACTGAATAGGTTCTAGTAGTGACTTGGCCATTTCTGCACACTATGGCCTCAGTTATTTCACTGTTATAAATGGTTAGCATTAGCACATGTAAGAGCACGTCCTGTGATTATTAAGACATTCCTCTACGTGTCTTTATCAAGACGTTTTCACACGCTCCCCTCGTCCCTCCCTTCTTTCCCAGAGATGCTTCGAAATCCATTTAGCTAATCACCATGTGACCACTGTTGGCCTTAAGGGAGGTGAACAGAGAGGTCATCCTCTATAAAATCACAGTGCCGGGTGACAGACAAGTCTGTGACCCAGCTACGTTTCAGTGAGGTCAAGGGTGACGGCTTCAGTCCATCTCAATGCCAAGAACTGCTGCTCGTCATGTTATTCTGCTACTATGCACGCCACAAATAACGCCCTTCTTCAAATGCAGACCAAGAAATTTCCATAATGGCTTAATTTGCACTAAAAGATATTAACACTGAAAATCTAGTCACATTATCCTCGGTTAAGTTGATTGATGTGCCCGATAGTATCTAATATAATTTAATTTGTCTTTTTTTTGTTCCTGCCATATGCTTGAAGTTGTTAGTCCACAAACTACTTTTATGCTTTATCCTTTAATCCTCCATCTCTTATTTTTTTTGTCATTTTAGACACAGTAACTAATGCCGGTCATGTTAAACATGATCTATTGAGGATACTTCTTTTCTCAAAAAAGTCTAAACTTGTAGCACAAAATTATATTTACAGGTAATAGTCATTAGTCTTTCAAACTAACAGCTAAAGTTTGAATAATAGTTGTGTTAATAGAAATATATTGGTTCATCTTAGTGGGCTGGGGGTGGTTAGGGGGGTCTCGGAGTCCTGACAGCCTGACAATGGCCTCTTAAAGACTCTATTCCTCCAACAGGTCGTCAAGGTGAAGTCGCTTCCTCCAGCATCTATACTGAAATGACAAGATCATTTTTGATGTGACAGCCATGGTTAACTTTGGCTGAACGAATTGGCTTCGGATGGGGGGATGAAACGACTCTGTCGCACATATCTCAGGGCTTGGAGTGTGCTGGTTGGGGACTGACTTGCTAACTGATCCATGCTGACGGGCACAGTGGAGTCCACTCCATGTAAGCGCTGCCCACCAGCCAGTTTGTCATTTTCTCTTGAGTGCCTTCAGATCTGCGGACGTGTGAGAGAAAGGCACTGACTGAGTGGACCATTAGGGTCCATTAGCCACCTACAGAAAATACGTCCTGTCTTCACGCCAGAGTGCTTGAAAACAGCCTTTCCGAGGATGCACTACGTTCACCTTTGTTGCTTAAAGACTTCCGCTTTAACAGAGGGTTTGACAATCGCTCTTTTCTTTTGCAAATATGCACACGTCTAAACTAGTCTCCGGTTTTACTTTTCTTTTGAAGAATTTATTGAAATGTAGGGGGAAAAGTGGCACGTTGACTTTTTTGTCGATCACCATCAAAACTCTCATATTTTAAATCCAATTAAGATGTTGACATTGAGCATTTATCCTGAAGGTATCTCAAAGCAAAACAGCTTACATCTATTTTCAGTGGTTACAATGTAATCAGGGATAAAAGTGCTCTCTTCAGATTAAGGGTATCTTTTACAGGAGGCTGAAGTAAAATGATGGCAGCGATAATGTCATCTCTGTGGTAAAGAGATTCAAAGATGTTATTGTAGGGTCTTTATCTTACATGAAGTGCCTTGAGGCAACTGTTGTTGTGATTGGGCGCTATAAAAATTTACTGAATTGAATTTCAGAACAGGCAAGAAAACAAATGGCAGAAGGCAGGATTGTATTAATATTCCACCCATTTTGAAGCATTTTTTCTGGCCACACAACACTTTTTTTTTATTCGATCAATGGATTTTATACTTTATTTTGCATAACTAAACTTTTTAAAGCTCTTTCTAGATTTTTTATTTTATTTTATTTTTTGTAGGTCAAGCTGCATTTACCAGCTGCTGACAACGGTATTATCAGACAGTCTGGCTTTCAGCGTTAATGTCTTTCACATGCTTTCCATTCTGGAAGGTAATGTATTTCTGGGGGAAAATGCTGACTACAACAAAGGGATTGTTTAATTTACAGAAGAGGATCAGCAGAATGATCCGTGTTTTAGCAGCTCCAGTGTCAGTATTTGATAGTCTAACCCTACAGGCCTGTATATTTGTACACTGACACCTTTTTCCCCATGCAAGCTGGAGGCTGTTTCAGATATTCGCTTAAAATTTTGCAAGCACTTTACAATTCTGTTGAAATGCAACCCAGAGAGCTAAGCGGTGCATTAGCTGAAAACTAAAGGAAACTAAATAGGATGTGTGGCTCATTTATAAAATGGAAAATAAAATTCCAGCAGTGCGATGTTCCGGAGCATTGTTCGCCTTTCCAGACAACTGCGGCGCTCCTTATTGTGAAGGCCAAGCCCTAAAGGTTAAAGTTCAGCCGTCTATTGAGCCATCAGATGGACGTGGCAAGAGATGGGCGTGTTGTCGACCCATTGAGCCAGCCCGAGCCTTCGACAGACAAAGTCATCGCCGTTGTATGATGCCACATATGGCGGATGGGATTTTATTGTGCTCATGCTAAACTTCGGCAGCACAAGCGAGGCTAAAGCTGACAATGTAATTATTGTGTTTCATTCCTTCCAGGTCGCTCAGCACTTAACTGATTTTTCAATCCCTGTTTTGACAGCTTTCCAAGACGGGGCTCTTAAACTGGCTCCACACTGTTGCTTTTTAAGACTTTAAGCACTTTAAATCCTTGTTTTTTCCACTCCGGATTTTAACACAGCCTGGATTGTGAGTCTCAGTAGGCCACGCAGGAATTTCTACACATTGCAAGATTATTTTTGGACTCCTTTTTTTAATTTTAGACCAGCCGCACGTCTTTTTCCCCTCTCGGTCATTTTAATCAAACACATCGCAGATATCAAAAGATAGATGATCCAATTTTTTGTTGTTTTTTTTACTCGTATACTTCCATTTTTACAGCCTTCTGCTGTCTTGCAAAGCTAAACTTTACCAGCTTTAATAGCAACCCCCTTAGGGCTGCATCTCTCTGTTTCTACCTTCTCTATGGGTCAAATTAGACGGTAGCGCAGATCCGGGCCACTGGTCCGCTCTGACACACTCATAAATTCTGGTAACTGGCCCCGCTGGTTCTGACAGAAGCTATTTTGTGAGGTGAAGACGGAGAGTTTGGACTATAAAGGGAAAAGAGCTTCCTGTGTTTTCTCAGACAACTAATACACTGCAAAAAATGTCAGCATCTTTGCCAGTCTCTCAAGCTCGCTCAGAGTCCAGAATTTGATGAAAAGACGTGAGAGAATCTGCCCATTGGATGAGGGAACTGAAGTGTTTTCGATGGCAATCCCGGTGAAGCAAAAGGAAATGCCTCGAAAGGCAGTTTACTTTGTCCCAAAATATTTCAGAGAAAAATTTAACACAGAATACAAATTTCAAGTTGTTTCTCTGTCCTCTTCAGACTCCTGAAAAGCTGGTAATGTCTCTTTCAAAGTGCACTTTTTGCAGTGTAAAACTGCCTGTCCATTCCCATGGCATGCTCTGTGCGCTCCGTACATCCACAGCCAAAGCCCTAAAACCTTTAAAGCCTTGTATGACTCTAATGTAAGCTGCTTAATAATTTAATTCTGGTTGGAATCTGGCATGATTGGAATGGATAGGATTATCACATTTGGGGACTAATGCTACGAGTTAAACAGGGGTTAGCCAGTGTAACATGGTAATAAAAGCCAGTGATGTGTGTTTAGAAAATAATGAAAAGTGCCAGGAGGAATTAAAGTAGAATGGCACTCAAACTTAATTATTACCGCAGACAAGAAGTTCGGTTTCAGTAGCCACGATATTAGTGGCAGTTAACACTTTAAAACCGAGTGCGTGTATCAGACACAGATGTCTCGGGCTAGGTGTGAAATCAGAATCTGTAACAGCAGCTGTCGTATAAATGTAGTTGCGCAAAAGCTCCATCTGAACTGAAAGTTTGCAAAGAGTTACAAAGCAAAGAAGTCATGCTTTGGATCGCTCTCTCTTTCTGTATCTCCTGGTGGTCTTGCCCACTACTGAGCTTGAACTTGTTCTCATATTTTACCACCTTTTCGGTTCCCCCTGCATGTGTCGCCTGTTTTCTGGGGTTTTTTTTCCCTCCACTCCCCTCTCTGCTCAGCTCAATCCCAGCCACCACAGCACAAGGCGTCACTCAGCTGCTCATGAGAGCAGCCATTGACTTCGGTTTGACTCCTGTCTCTGAGAGGGGTAGACGGGGTGGAGCCAGCCCCTCTGAAGAACCATTTGCCAGCGTCGAGCGAGCCTATGTTACCACGCAACTGCAAAAAGCACACACAGGCATAATATTTACACTGTTACATTATTTTCCGTATACGCCTCCAAGAGTGGGAGTCAAGAAGTGTATACTGTAAGACAGACAGAGGAGAAGAAGAAGAAGTAGGGGAGGAGAATTTGATCCTCGGCATACAAATATATACATATATATATATATATATACCTTCTGTGAATGGCTGGCTGGCCACCAAAATGTGTGGGGTTAAATGTTTACAAAAACATTAAACCTTCTCTGGGTCGGCACATTTTCCTTTGCGGGTGATGTTAAGTGTTCCACCCTGAAAAGCCTCCTTGTTGACATCACTCACTCCCGTCGTTAGTAATTCTGACCTCTCGCGGAGGAGTTCACTCTGCTCCTGTCTCGCAGCGCTAAGCGCCACACGTTTCCACTTAAACCGTGGAGGTCATTCCTCTCGGCCCGTGGAGACTCTGCTTATCGATGCGTGGCGGGTTCTGTCTTCGCGCCTCGCGGTGCCGGACCGCTCGTACGTTCGCTCTCCCATCCGATAGACTTCTGAATCTGTCAAGTTAGTATCTGTCTGCTGCTGCCATCCAGCCACACCTGGTTTGAATTACTACACACAATTCAACACTCGGGTCTCCGGGGATGGCTTGCTCCTGAGTGGCACAGTGGAACCACTTTCAGAGGTGCAAAAGAAGAAAAAAAACTCACCCTCACTGCAGGCGGAGAGAAGAAAATACTTCTCTGCTATTTGAAAATGTCGTATTTCATCAAGTCATGATTCCAGTTAGTTTAACTGGTTTCTCAAACATATGGCGTGTGCTGCGTTCTATTTCTTGAAAAGGCCGTTCCTTGTGATTTCTTCAAAGCGATACCTGATGACACCACTCTCTGCAGCTTCTCCGGCCGCTGCGGGCACGCGGAATAAATTCCCATTAAGACGTTTACACCACATCAAAATATTGCGTTCTGCTAATCACATCTGTTCTGCATCAAGCGGGACGCAATTAATAAAAAGAGGTTACAGTTGTGTTGTCGTTTGAAATGTTTGTTCAAAAGGGTTTGCACCTCAGTAAACATGCACTGCACAAAGGCCTCTCCTGTTTGCCGAGCGGTGCGCTCTGTGATGTTTTATACCAAAGGATATCAAAGGAGGGAATAGCTCTGACAGTAGAGAGGACGCTTTTCTATAGCAATAGCTGATATTTATTGGAGCAATTTCTCTATGGTGACCGTCTTATTAAACGTAGGAATATACTAAATGGGTATTTGTGTGTTGCTCTCTTGAAAATATGAAAGCAATTCTCCCAAAGACTTCTGCACCCTTGTCATTTTTTATGACATATACTAAATATTCTCTCCTCTCTCATCTCCGTCGTCCCTCCACCCCATCCAACCCCAAGCTGAGACACCAGCAGTGGAGTCTGGTGATGGAGAGCGCCGTGCCGTCAGACCGGGGAAACTACACCTGCGTTGTGCAAAACAAATACGGCTCCATCAGCCACACCTACCAGCTCGACGTGCTCGGTGAATGTCTTTTCTCTTCTGCTCTTTTAACAACACATAACTTAACACACAGCAATTATAAAAGAGCTTATTTTTAGCTGTACCTTAAGTCTAAATTTCCTGCAGCATATTATTGCCACAAATGAGTTGTGGTAATGACTCTATAATTTCTTTTTCCTCAGAGCGTTCACCTCACAGGCCCATCCTCCAGGCTGGTCTGCCAGCCAATCAGACGGTGGTGGTGGGCAGCAATGTGGAGTTTCATTGTAAGGTTTACAGCGACGCCCAGCCGCACATCCAGTGGCTCAAACACATTGAGGTGAACGGCAGTCGCCTTGGCCCCGACGGTGTTCCCTACGTCAACGTCCTGAAGGTGGGTCTGTAGCTCAGAGCTCTTTGTTTTACATCTGTAATGAGCCTGAGTCTCACTGCCTGGAGTCGATCTCAGTCTGCGATAATTCTACTCATAATTAATCTCTCCTAATAGTTCTGTTTAATGAGCTTTTACAGTAGGTGGGTCTGTGGGGCCCACAGGCTGTTTTTGCTGCAGCCTGAACCTGAAGAGCTCATTCCTCAAACACCATACCTTCATTATGGGGAAAAAACACACACCTGCATTTTGCGACATACCACACCATATAAAAATGGATTCTCATAAACCTAATAATAGCCCTGTAAATAATTTTCTCCACTTAACCACGGCACCTGCACTGCTTCAGTTTATTCCAATGCTGGCCTGAGCAGTGTGGTTCCATACTGGTGATGATGGAGCCAGTTCACTTATAATTACAGTGTTTTATTTTCTTTCTCCTTTTTCTTATTTGTTCCTTTTTTCTTTTTTTCTACTCATTTATGTCATGATGAAACAGTAAGAGGATATCATTTTTAAGATTGTCTCAGACACACAGCTCTGGCTGTCAGCACAGACGTTCTAATTCAATTCAATTTCAAATCAGTTTTACTTGTTAAGGTCCAAATCGTAACCGTTGTCACCTCAGATCACTTTATATCGTAAGGTAAAGGCCTTACAATAACACAGAAAAAACCTAAACAATGAGATGATCCCCCCGTTAGCAAACACTTGGTGACAGTGGGAAGGAAAAACTCCATTTTAACAGGAAGAAACCTCCAGCAGAAGCAGGCTGAGGGAGGGGCAAGGGGAATGGTTGGGGGGTGAGCACCTATACTAACTTAGTGCAGGATTGTACCCAGTGATTGCGCATTGTGTCTCTTCCACCACTATAAATGTATTCATGTTTCTTTAATAGGCTAACAGCAATTAATCATGCTTAACCAGCATTTCCACAAGCCAATCAGTCGAGTGCCGCTTACTGGTTACATTCGATTTGAATAAAATATGTTAGGAGGAAGTGCACGAAATAGGCAATAGCTGCATTTGCAGAGAAATATTTGTTATTGTTGAGATAAATGTCATGGTTTATCCAAATATCAGCTGTTGGTATTTCAGTCTCATTGCAAATCCCAGATTTGTTTATTTAACCACTGGAAAGGAGATTGCCAAGGCAGTCATGTTTGCATTGTTTGATTCAGTAAGTGACAGACTGACAATCACAACAACGAAAAGGTTTTCTTTGTCAGATTTCCTAAAATCTATATTTGGTTACAGCATTATAGAGAAGAAGAGATACTTGACTTTTTTTTTTTATTGCGCTTTATTTCGTATTGAGTCAAACCGTAATTCAACTAAAGAATGTCAGAAAAACAAAATACATGAATAAAGTGAATCAAAAATCCACCCTAAAGGTTATAAGTCTGATCAGTCAAGGTGGCCCTACGTGTTTACTTGCTTGGGAAAGAACTATTTAATTATAAATCGAGCTAGAAAATGATGTATACGTGACTTGCATTTTCAGATGTCCCTGTAGATTAATCACAACTTTTCTGAGCTATTCAGCGTTGCCCGTCTTCAGTTTTTGTCCTTGCCCCGATGAAGCATCTTTTAGTTTTTAAAAAGATATTTTAATCGCATACTTCCTCATGAAGTATTAGGAAAGTGTAGATAGGATTGTCCTCAATCAATCGAAGAGAGGGCAACAACCTTAAACCCACTTCGAGGCGTGTTTTTAGATCTGGGGTCTAGAAAGGAAGACTCCCATCCACATCGCAAAACCCGAGAGGGCTTAGCTGTCTCATTTTGACCGCCCCCCCCCCTCTTTTTTTCTTTTTTCTGCCTCTGGAGAGAGAAAGAGGAGAGGGTGAATAAAACAAACATCTGGTTTGGACTAAGTTAACTGCTGTGGTGGCGGCAACGCAGGGAGAGAGGCAGGCTCTGCTAACCGCCACTGCCGTCAGATGTGCTGCGTCGCGTGGTTTGAGGAGGAGGAGGAGAGAGGAAAAAGGGAAGAGGCAACCAAAAAAGCCATGGAAAAAATTAGTGGAGGAACACGAGGAAGGGCAAAGTCAGCAGGGAGAGGGAGAGAATGTGTGACAGATTGGTGGGCAAAGATGGAGAGCGAGGGCGAGAACGAGTGGCTGGGGTGTCAGAAAAGCAGCGAGACGGGCGGGAGGAGCGGACGAAGGAAATAAGATGCAAACGTGAAACAAGAAGAGCAAGAGATAGAAGCTGAACAAAGCGCATGGAGAAACGTCACAGTGTTAGCTTTTCACATATGAAAGTAACTGTCCAGGTACAAGAGTGCTCTCAGGTTGCAAATAGATTATTTTGGAGCTGAAGCCTTTAGATGATAACCTTCCTGAGTTGAAGAGATGCTCAAGGCCTGAGTTTCTAATCTTCTAACACATTATTAGAATTATTATTACAATTTTTAAATATCTTCACACTATGAGTCGTGGGCTTGAAGGTCTGGGTTACTCCATCTTGACATTAAAGTTTCATTGACTTTTAATGTCAAGTCATTTAAATAAATAAATAAATAAATACCTTCACTTGTTACATGAGACGCTCTCCTATCCGCACGTTCAATATGAGGCTATATGAGCCTGGTAGTTTAGCGAGGTGTCCTAGGTGCTCACTCATTTAATGTTGAAATGTCACTTTAAATCTGCTGGATTCACAGTTATTTTATGACTTATTAAAACACTGACTGTGCCGAAGCCTTTTACATCAATGTCATTTAATTTATGCTTGAGCTGAAACACGTGGGTCGTTTGTGGATAAGAGATATGGTTGTGGGTGCAGTATGTTGTCTTCGTAACTTCACGACTTCAAACACAAGATCAGCATATAAAGTGTCCAGCAAATCTTTAGAAATGTAGGTCTGAGAAGGTGGAGTAAAATAGAAAGCAAAAGGACTGAGAGAGTGAGAGTAAGACAGAGCGAAAGAGGAGGAGAAAGAGAGAGGCCAACAAAAAGAGAGAGAAAGAGGGGGGAAAGCAAGCCTGTCAGCCCAGACTGCGGCTCCACGCTCTATTTTCGACTACCGCATAATTGAAACAGTATTTACTGAGATTTGTGTGTGCCTCCCTCTCTCTCTGTCACTCTCAGTCTCTCTCTCTAGGCCCACCACAGTTCACTCAGACATGATATGCTCTCTCGTGTGTGGCATATACTGTAGAAGTTAAATACAGCTTAGGGTGAGACGAGGGGGTCAAAAAAAGAATTTTTCTTTTCTTTTTTTTGAGAAATGCCTGAATCGTTCTTTTGATGCCTGGAAAAAGAGTTAACGATGAGTGACTCGCCCCGCACGGGGGAGGGAGAAGGAGATGTCTGGAGCCAAGGCGTGGATGTTCATTAAGCAACTATAAAACATGATATGTTTTCTCCTTTATGCGCCGGGCCCGTTTAATAATTTAGCAGCAGTTTCTCTGCGAGCGAAGCACCCAGTCAGATCGTGAGTGTTTACACTCGCAGGTTTACACCCTTATAGGACTGACATACTGTAATGCCTTTAAACTAGCAACAGACAGCGTGGATTGGTGCGAGTCTGCAATGTATGGCTCGTGTGTGTTCCTGTTGTTGTGTGTTTATGATCTTACAGGTTTGACATGTTGCTTTTAATCAACAAAACTGACAGAATGACACTATGCCTCACTGTATCACTCTCACGTCATGTTAGCATAGCTTAGCATAAATCTGTAAACAACTGGAAAGTCATAGCCTGGCTGTCTCTGATTTTTTACAACAGCAGCTTATAAAGAGGATTTATTCATCATGCTTTTCATTATTTTCTATCACATATATACTGTTACAATAGTGGACTAAATGATGAGGATGAGAAGACTTCTTTAAATGTTCAGTTTGAGGCAGTTTTTTCCACTGATGGCTCTCTGTGATGTATGAAAACACACGGATCGGCCAATCAGAAGAAAGTTTGCCTTAAAGGGAGAGAAGCTGGATCATTTTTGAGCTGTGAAGCACGTAGAGCTATGTGGAGATAAGAATGAGCGTAAGAGGTCTCCTTTGTTCACAATAAACAATGAAACTAAGCTAATAACACAAAAAAATGTTGTAAATGTAAAAACCAATGTGCAGTGCTTCTTTTAGATGTGTGTGTAGTATGTGGGTTTGCATGTTGTTACTATGTGTTTTTGCAGGAGCTCTGAAGGCCTCACTCTGCCTTTCAATTTTCCCCTTACAGAGTGTTGTCAGTAAACACATTGAGACCCACAGTAAGTTGAAACTGTCCAACGTGACAGAGAAAGACGCCGGGAAGTACTGGTGTCGTGCTTCAAACTTTGTAGGAAAGTCAGAAAACGCTTTCTGGCTTAACATATACAAACCAGGTAAATTCTGAACTCTGGGCGAGAACCGTCGTCACCACATTTGATCTGCTGTGCCTCTTCCTCTCTGCAATGTTCCTCTTGGTTGTGGGTTTTGACTGGCTCGCTGGCTTGCTCACACCTATACACATTCATCAGTGAGGTTTGAGTTCTAATGCTTGCATTTAGTTAGCTAATGGCCATCATCTATTTTAGCTCCCAGTGCCACTTTGTCTTCCTTCCCGGTCGATAAGAGAAAGACAATATTGCGCCATTAATTAATGCAAAAACTTCAAAAGTTTCTCACACATACACACACACACACACACACACAGAGAGATTAAAGCCCACATAAAACCTTTACTGACCAAAGCGTACCCGTACACAAACAAGCCAGTATTGATTTCTCTGGGAGAGCATCCTCCTGCTATATTAATGTGCTTTTATATGAGAGCATGCAGCAGGCGCCTGGATGTCAGTGTTCATTACTGAGGCACGGGGAATAAGTCCTCCACCTCAGCCTTTACTAAGCCACATCCAGCACTGCCTTTGAATCAAACTAACCTAGCGGTCATCACACCAAATGATATTTGAAGAAAGAAAAATCGCAACTGCAGTGATGCACTTTTTAGGCTGGGCTTTGGTGCTTAAAAAAAAAGTTGATGTTGATGATACTCTTGATATTTACAAAAAGTAAAAAGACCCTGTTGTATTTCTGTGAGTTCCTTTCTCAAGGCACAAACTATTTAAGACTAAGACTGTTTAAATCAAGCGTGCAAACTGATTTACTAACGTTAAATATCTGCACAATTTAAAAAGCTGGGGGAAAAAAATGGTTTTTTGTGCTTTATGGCGCTTTTGTAAATCACCCATAAAACTAACCAGGCCTCTGAGCTCTATTTGGGGATTGCGGACCATTTAATAAATCTGGCGCTCTAAATTTTACTTGTAAAAAATTCAGGTGAAATCCCATTTTGGTAATGACATCTTGCAGCAGTAATCTTAAACTAAAAATATCTTTTTAAAACATGTTTACAAAACCCGGTGCTCATTTGAATTTGTTTTCTTTTAAAAACATAAAGGATCTAGGACTGATCCTTGAGGCATTCCTAGAAAAACACTGATCCAAAGGCGCAAATCACTTTCCTCTCACAAACACACAAAGACCTTCATAAGCAAGTCCAGAACCAAAGGCAAGCTTTGTCATCAGGTCAACTGTACGTGGTTCAGTTTAAACTCACGGGTGCATTTGGAGGCAACAGAAAACTCTCCTTATCAAAGAAGCTTACAGAAGTCTGTAAGAAATATTTTGTGTTAGGAAACTCTGTTATGACACTTCTGCCTGTTCTAAATGTGGAAATGGATGCCTGTGTCTTACGATTCCACATATGAAAGTAAATCACTGCTGCAGTCTACAAAATTCTTGATAGGAGTTCATTACATCAAAGAGTGCCTGTGGCGTTAGGCTGAACCAACGAGCTTGTCTCACAGCGTGGTGTAGGTGCTGCTTGGGTGTTTTCAGGTGTGGGTGATGGTGCTGACAACAGTAAACAGGACTGTCCTTTCCTCCAGGGTGCATTTGGTGTTTCTTCTAAGAAGCTTTCGCCTTACGATATATCTTCTCTCTCTGTCTCTTTCTCTTCCCTCTCCTCCCTCTCATCCTCCACAGACGGCTGGCATTAACACTACAGATAAGGAGCTAGAGGTTCTCTTCTTGACCAATGTGTCTTTTGAGGATGCGGGCGAGTACACTTGTCTCGCAGGGAACTCTATCGGCTTTTCTTACCACTCTGCTTGGCTGACGGTGCTTCCAGGTATACTCTTCACTCTGTGGGTCCATTTTCTCCCACCTGTGTTACCTGAAATGTTAGAAACGCCACGAAACTTGTTTTGCTCTGCAGCACAATATTTAACATCAATTTTCAAACCTAATTATCATAGATTGCTACTTGTAAGCACATATTTTAAGTGCGTCGACGCTCTGTCACCATCCCTTTAATTTAACCAACCGAACATGCAATCCATCCTTCACTGAAAGGCGCTTTTTAATCAGAGCAGATCGTCTGCTCAGATGTCTCTGGGCTATGAGGCAATTTAACGACACTTCAGCTTTTGCTTTTCAAGACAATAATTGCCTCCCTGAGGAAAAGCGTATCACAGGTGCAATTACCTGCAGCAGGATAAAACTACACGATGATCACACCGTGGGTTGCTGCCCCAACCCACGGTGTGAATGCGAGCTTTCAGTGAGGAACAACAAGTTTCTGATCTGTTTCTCTTTTGATTTATGGATATTTCTTCACAGAAAATGCTCACTCAAACTCCATTTGGTTGAAGTGTGCTACTGAACAAAGCAAGCTATTTTTGAGTGGGAATTAAAACAAAATGCTGTGTGAATTTGGTGAATTTCAACTGACTTTTCACATTTTCCCTCCTAAAGCAGTGAGTCCACAAAAGGAAGACTACTACGCCGACATCCTTATCTACGTGACAGGCTGCGTGCTCTTCATCCTCGCCGTGGTCATCGCAATCCTCTGCCGTATGAGGATGACCACGCAGAAGACTCTGCCCACGCCTCCCGTGCAAAAACTGTCAAAGTTCCCCCTCAAGAGACAGGTAACAGAAAGTAGATACAAGATTTGCACAAGACTTTCCCAAAACCTTTCTTCTCTCTGCTTGTCTGTTTAATGCAGCTTTTAGTATATAACCCAGGTCAAACTAAGAAAGGAAGAGTTTGGGGTATCTGTCATTTAAATAATAGAACAAAGTATAAATTGGTTAAAGAAGGTTTCTACGCGTCTGTCTGTCCTGTTGTTTAATTGGCGCTGTGTTGACGATGGACGGCAGCACACTGCTGACATGTGTTCACATTTATCTTGGAGCAGATTTGGTTCAGGGATATTTATGCGCTCCTGTGACTGTCAGTGTTGGTTTTAGATTTCACTCTGAGTGTATCACATACTCTCTCTCATCAACTGTTTGCGAAGAAACACAGAGTGGAGCAGCTGCATTGCCGCAGCTTTTAGTCCGAAGAACTCTTCGTGACTTCAGGACTAAGCTTAGATACAGTATCTACTAAGATCGGGCTAATCATGCTCAGTTTATTATCGAACAGGCTGTTATTGAAATTAAAGCAAGTCTCGAGGGCTGAAGGAATAATTTATTTTGTAAAAAAAATTGTTGAGCACTCTTCCAACAAGAGTTGAGACAAAGGATTGATCATCTCTTTATGTAAACACAAAGCTAGAGCTAGTAGCGGGTTAGCTTAGCATAAAGAGTAAAACCTGGGTACGCTAGCTTGACTCGTTAGTAAACACTCAGAGACAGACCGACAGATACAGGATTTTTTTTTAGACTGATGTTGATATTTTAACCCTTCAAGCTCTTTTTCTGAGCTTAGTGGTTTCTGTCATATTTCAGGACTGCTTATAGAACAAAATTATTGGGTGCACATCAGACGTTAGCATAGCTGGTCTCTGCTTATGCAGCTACCCTTGAAAAAATAACAGAAACTGCTTCTAATGGTCATCAAACCACATCCTTATTGATTTATACTGAGATGCTAAAATCCGTCATTATCTGTACGGGGGACGCTGTCAGATGTCATCTTTTTGGGGGTAGAATTAAGACGCACGAAAAAACATTTCCTTAACATTTGTTATGCAGTTACTTATTCATGGATCATTTGCTAAGATCAGTTGCGGATCGGATCGCGAGTCGTTGTCACCATTTTACGCTCTGTTGTCATCAGTTGCAGAGCGCCCTCTTGTGGACTAACTATACAACGTCAGCACTGATATAATGGTTAAAGTGTGTTTTTTTTTGTCTCTTCTTTACTTTTTTAATTGTTATTTATATGCCGTTATAAATGCTGATTCTTATATGTTGCCAAATAGCTAATATAAACCAATTTTTACTGTGCTTTACTGTGAGCAGCTCTAATACTAACTTTTAACAGATATATGAAGGGGGCTTTCAGTTTTTAGGTTAAATCAAGATAATTCTTTTTTTTTTTTTTTGTATAATTTCTGCTACAAATAGCATTTTGTGCAATTTGCGGTTTGTTTCCCTTAAACAAGCAAAATCATATTAGGAGAAATGAAAACACACTGATGAGGCTTCAAAAAATAAGATATCAGATATGATACACTTGGCAGTACGGGGTTAAAACGGATTTTATAAGTCCAAGTTATTATTTTTGGACTCTAGCTTTGCATGAATCACAGTTCAAGAAATCCTGATTTATCCTACGTACTGTAGTTTATCTTCCATCTGAAAAAAGCTTTTTTACCTTCAACCTTTTCTCTAAAGAGAAGGTCGAACAAGAGGTGGGACAAATAGGCTTCTGTGCTCAGAGCCAGAGCTGTGAGTCTGGGTTGAGCATATTAAGGATAGCCACTTTGAATGACATCACAGAGAGCCAAGAACAAAACAAGACAGTCAGAAACAGATTATTTAGAGCAGTCGCACTAATCCCTGTGAGCCTTTAGCTCATTACTTTTGGTCTCTTACAGTAATTATAATCCAGGTAGGGATGTGCATCTTACCATTTCTCTCTGAATGCCAAGATTGTCTGAATGTCTAACATGTAGACGAGTTTGCGATTATCTCTTCGGCCCCACCCTGCTGGCTCCCACTGTGTGCAGGACATAGCCACTATGTGTGTCTGTGTGTTTTGTGCAAAATCCAGCTTTCCGACTCCATAATTAAAGGGTTGTGCGTCTCAAAATGGAAACGATGCATTTTTAGAAAAGAAAATATTATTTGAAAGCCATAATGCAGTTCTTGGAAAACAAACAGACTTTTAAAACCACGATAAGGTTTCAGCTGTAAAGGCTGTTATACAGTCTGAGGTTGGGTTTTTTTGGTACATAAAGAAGTATTGTTAGGTTATATCAAGTAGAAACCTCAACTATCGAAACATTTTTTAATTGTAGCCTCTAAATCATTTCTACTTGTGCGGCGCTCATATAAATGGTCTTATAAGGTAGTGCAGGGAAAGTTCTTATTGCATTTTTCTATAATCTTTGCTTCGTTTTTGTAAAGCTAATCTCCCTGTTCTCTCCTTTCTTTTTCATAACTCTGAGTAAATCTCCTGTAAAGCTCCTGGCATGTTCTATCAGATATTACTTTTCATGCCTCTGAAATTGTGGTCAGGGCCCTTTTTCTCATTTTCCTCCAGTCAAGAAGTCTGGTAAGTGGACATGTTTGTTTCAGGACCCCACCTGAAGGGTCTGAGCCGGCAGACCCTGACATAAACAGATCTATCAAAAAGCAGACCCGAGCCATCGGTTTTTTCCCCAGCAGTCAGATAAATGGCGGGAGGATGCCGAGCCCAAGGGCTCAGCGGAATGACCGCCGATCCAGAAATGGAGCTTGTTGATGGATAGAGATGTCCACCCCACCTCGCCACTCACTCGCCCACCTCTGCATCCTCCTTCATTCATCTTTGTTACCTCCCGCTTCCTCCCGTGCGCAGCCACAGGCTTGCTGTTTGTAAAAGTCACTGACATTGGTCTGGTCCCGAGATGTGTGATGTTTCCCAAAAAGGGTTTTATCTCAAGTCACTGAATGTTGTTCTTTAAACTTCAAAGCTGTTTTGAATTTGACTGGATTTTGCACTGGATGTATTTTTGTCAGTTTTTGTTTTTTTTCACCCCCCAAAAGAGTGTCAAGATTTTCAGTGTGTCATGAGAAATGATTTCTTTTGAATATATTTTATGTTTCAGGGGCTGGTTCATTTTCAAAAACATCAAAAATATTAGGACTGTTTGAATAAATAATAAAGAGTCAAACTGATCTGAAAAAGGAATTACTTATTCATTATTTAGTTAAAAAATATTTGGTCAAAGATCACGGTTAGATTTCTTTTTTCCCTCTGTCTTTATTTGAATGCCTGTCACCAAACTCTTTTTCAGAGACTATAACAGTTTATTCTTTTGTACCCAAGCAGGTGTCCTTGGATTCCAACTCTTCCATGAACTCAAACACGCCGCTGGTCAGGATCGCCCGTCTGTCGTCCAGCGACGGCCCGATGCTCGCCAACGTCTCGGAGCTGGAGCTGCCGTCCGACCCCAAATGGGAGTTCCCTCGGACACGGTGAGGAAAAAAGCACACTGCACGCGCTCAAAAAAAATTATTCAGTCAAGTAAATTATATTTCACACTTTACATTGTGCTTATGTGACAAAATTACATGTGAAATTTACATGTAATCAAATTACTTAAAGTCTTATGAGTATACACACTGAACTCCAAGTCTGAAATCTGGCCACTTGTTTCAGGCTAACTCTGGGTAAACCTCTGGGAGAAGGCTGCTTCGGTCAGGTGGTTATGGCTGAGGCTGTTGGCATCGACAAAGAGAAGCCCAACAAGTCGCTCACTGTTGCTGTGAAAATGTTGAAAGGTAAGTAATCACTGTGGCTACCCTGCAGGAATGAATACATGACCTTGGCACTGACAGTGCTACCATGCTCGCTGTTGTTCTGTTTGTCTTGTGTACTGGATTTGCGTTGGTTTGATTGCTTCGGTTCGTATTTTCGTCAGTACAAATGCTCCATTGATTTTCTTATCTCAGATGACGCCACAGATAAAGATTTATCAGACCTGGTGTCAGAAATGGAGATGATGAAGATGATTGGGAAACACAAAAACATCATCAACCTACTCGGAGCCTGCACACAGGATGGTGAGCGCAGAGTGCAGTAACAACAGAATTAATGCAGGACTTAACCATTGCCATGAAAGTCATATTTGTTCTCTGTTTCCCGTGCAGGTCCTCTGTATGTCCTGGTGGAATACGCCTCCAAAGGCAACCTGAGGGAGTACCTGCGTGCACGGCGGCCACCGGGCATGGACTACTCCTTCGACACGTGCAAAATCCCCGATGAGCAGCTCACGTTCAAAGACCTGGTGTCCTGTGCCTACCAGGTTGCCCGAGGCATGGAGTATCTTGCTTCACAGAAGGTTAGCCACGTTGCTTCACTTTAACTCAGTTATCATATAAAAGGATGCTTTGGCCTGCACTTAACTTCTCAATCAGACAACCCCCTATGAGCAAGCACTTGGCAACAGTGAGAAGGAAAAACTCCCTTTTAACAGGAAGAAATCAAGTCCATTACAGCAATGTGTTAATTGCGAAATTGAAAGATAATTAGATTAGTGAATTAAAACTCTAAGTTTAAACTAAATTTGAGGCTTTTAAAGTTCAGTTTGTGCGTTTCATAGTGCAAAGTAAAACTTGTCAACTTGCATCAGTGTTTCAGTATATTTGCGTGTATGCGTGAGTGCAATGCGCCGTGTGTTTGATGCATTTGTTCTTCTTCCCTCAGTGCATCCACAGAGACCTGGCAGCCAGAAACGTCCTTGTGACGGAGGACAACGTTATGAAGATCGCCGACTTCGGTCTCGCCAGAGACGTGCACAATATAGACTACTACAAAAAGACCACAAATGTGAGGCTCATTCCTTCAGTGCTGTCCTTTAGGAAAATATTATGTGTTTGAAGCGATACGATGGGATGGTATTGAATACAGCAGCTGCTTCTTACATATGGCTGAAAGTCTTTTCTTTCAGTGTCACGGTCGGGTCGCATCTCAAAAGTAGAATTGAGCAGATTGAGCAAAATTAAAAGTGTATGTGCGGATTCCACAGTGTTGATATGAATGTGTTTTCAAGCAAAGGCGTTGCTGCGAATGAAGCACCGAAATGGTCATCAGATTTCTGAAGCTAGCTGAAGTTCAAGCTGTGGTGGTGGCAGCGCAACTAGGCTGAAGTTTGTGTGTTTGTGTGAGTGTTTGGTTGTCAGCTCCGTACAGAGTGCTTCTGCTGACCCAAGCGTTTCTGTCTCCTTTGTTTCAGGGTCGTCTCCCCGTGAAATGGATGGCTCCAGAGGCTCTCTTCGACCGGGTCTACACGCACCAGAGCGATGTGTGAGTTTGCACAAACTAACCGTCACATACCAACTGCCCAGTCGCGTGTAAGCGAGTGCACCGGCGGAATCCGGGTGTTGAAATATCGTGACTGAGCGTGTTAGCATCAACCGTGTGCGAACATGGAATCATAACATTCCCTTTCCAAATATCTGCGGTTCACCTGATAACCCCCGAGGTTCTCGCGTATTAGCCGCGGCGCAGTCCTGCATTTGTTCTTTTAATCTCTATCCAACGACAGCAGAGAGAGATAGGAACACAACAGAGTCCCGACATCTTAGTGCTGTTTTATCAGTGAAAATCCAACCTGCCCCAGAGCAGGAGGAGATAAAGAGGGTCAGTGGATTTATCACAAGGTGTTCCCTCGGGGCATTTTCCCCACAGCACTTCAAAAGGAATCTGGGCAGCAGAGACAGTTTTCACAACCTCTGATTGCTTCCGTGTTGGCCACGATCAAGAGAAGAAAGGTGAGGAGGCGAGGCGGCCTGCCTTGCAGTAGCTGTAACATACCACCCCCCACCCCAAAACGTCTTCTCAACCCCCAAGCCCCGCCGGCTACAGCCAGACGCCGTGTCCCCAGCACAGCCATCCAAGCCAAACACAGGCCCCTGTCAACACTGGCTCGCCGTGTGATTACACTAGACTGGGAACAGGCCGAGGGGAGAATCAGGCTTCTCTGTTATTTCAGCAGGTCTGGATTACACAGTCAATCCTCCCGCCAAACCTCCTCCTCCTCCTTTTATACAGTAGTCGCTCTGAAGCCAGTTTACTCTCACACACCCTGGGGGACCTTGACTTTTGACTCGCAATGATTTCTTATTTTCCCCCCCTTTTTTTTTTTAGGAAATATGATGGCGAATCAATTAAAAAACAATGAAAAAACTGTAGTGCATATTGTTTCTCCTGTCAGATTCATGCTTGTTGAAACCCTCCTGGCTCATTTACAGCTGTAAAGGCAGAAAACACAGTGGCAACATTTGGGAGCCATTTTTATAGGATTTTTGTCCTTTCGCACATTTTTCATTTTTCAAGAAAACGTGTAAGTCGTCATTAACATCACCAGTTCTCTTTTCGACTTCAAACACCAGAGTTATTTAGTGCAGATAGAGGCTCAGCCAGCACTGCGGCCGCTGCCAATGTCACGGAGGTGAGGATTTTATTTTGGACAGCTTCGGAGGTGTCAGCCTATAAAAGCTGCAGTGGAGAAATCTCACTGCAGCTTCACAGTGACGCACTAGCCCATTAAAAGCAGGGAAGGTGGGGAAGGTGTGGGCCAAAAGCAGCTGGGTTGTAAAAGCAGGTATGATTAAGACTAAAGCTTTTGGCACTGACACGTTTGCAGAAATGATTTTAAAGGGAAAGAAACTTACCTGTAACTAAATAAACGAATTAATGTCCAGTAGAACAGTAAATGTAATGCTGGTAGGCTTAGAGCAAAGATATGGTCACAGATAGAGTAGATGCCATTCTTTTCATTTAAGCCAGGGGTGTCCAAACCCAGGCCTCGAGGGCCGTTGTCCTGCAGGTTTTAGATGTGTCCTTGATCCATCACAGCTTTAAATGGCTAAATTACCTCCTCAACATGTCTTGAAGTTCTCCAGAGGCTGGTAAGGAACTAATCATGTGATTCAGGTGTGTAGACCCAGGGTGAGATCTAAAACCTGCAGGGACACCGGCCCTCGAGGCCTGGAGTTGGCCAAGCCTGAATTAAGCAATGTCAATATCTTTAGATGAAGATGCAATTCTAAGTCCCCCTATGAAACATTTTAGCGCAGCTTTTCCAAAAACCAAGGCTTGCTTTGGATTAAAATTATTAGCCCCCATGATGCTGATACTCAATTGTATATGTCCTCCTGAGCAGTCCCAGCCTATTCTTCTTTTGTGAATCTCTCGAGCTCCTCCAAACTTCCTGCACAGACCCTGGTCGTCAGTTCACCCCACAGTCAGTGACACTCACTGTAGACTTCACCAGGACTGGGACACTCCTCAGTGACGTGTTTTGCTGTTTTCTTTCAAAATCTTCATATATCCTTCCTTTATGATTCCTTCTACTGTGAACATAATACTCCCACCACCGTGTTTGACTGTGACTGTGTTCTTGGGGTTGGTCGCCTCTCCCTTCTTCCTCCAAACACAAGCAGTGCCTCTATGATCAAATGCTTTATTTTTTTCTCATCTGACCAAAGCATGTTTTTCCAGTATGCAGTATCTTCCTCCAGGTCATCCTTAGCATAGTTGAGTCTGGGTTGATGGTTTCTCTTCTGCAGAAGTGGACTTTTTCTCGCAGTCCATTCCTGTGCAGAGTTTGTGTGCGATTGTCTTCTTTGCGACTACAATTCCCAGCATTCACTCATGTCTTGGCAGGTGTTCTGGGATTATTTGACACTTCTCTCAAAGAGTCTTTGAAATCTTCTGCTCCCTACCTCTGCCAGGCTCGCTCTGTACGGTGTGGCTCTCTTTGAGTTTCTTGGTGATACTTCTCACTCCAAATCTTGACACTTGGAAACCCTCTGATAACTTTTTATGTCCACTTCCTCTAAACCAATTCCCTTTTTGTTGGCACGACGCTTTCACAGCGACAGCTAAAAACCCTTACTGAAGTTTTTATACTGTATATAAATAGAAAGATACATTTTACAAGCGTTGAGCATTACAGAGTTAAAGCACATCCTGTAGTGGTTTATGCTATAGCTCAGTAAAAGTAGTATGTTTAGATATACTATGTTAAAAAGACACATGGGAAAAAGCCTTTCAATAATTTTGCACTTATCTGCTCACAATATTACTCAAAACTTCTTTAACAAAGTCGGTCATTATATTGCGACGCTGATATATTCTAACAGCCTTCATTTTCTTAATTTGACTCATGCCGCTGCTTATATGAGTGGCTGACGTTTATTAATGTCTGCTGTAAGAATACACGATCAGTGGTGTGTTGATTGGTATCATGTGCAAATATTCTTTATTAAAAGTGTCTACAGGACTGAAATCACAGATGGATACCATTCGTCAGAGTCTATTATTAGCCCCAGAAACAGATGATGTTGTTTTTCCGTATAAGTCACGAAGAGAGTCTGAATATGAAAACAGCAAGAAGCAATGCTTGGGCAACAAATAAAGCCAATAAAGTTGTGGCTGACTTTTCATTAACTCTCGTCTCCAACCACCTAGCACATGCAGTACTGCCAGATTGTCAGTAACAGGTTTGGTATGATTGGTGAAGAGAAAATCCAAGCAAATAACGAGTTCCCCACTAACGAAATTAGTAGTGGCAGCATGGCCTTTTTGCTACTAAGGCAGCGTTGTTCCTCTTCGTCTGTTCGCACATGTACTTTCAGTGGCTTTTCATCGCCCAACAGGGCTGATTGATGAACACATTTGAAGTCGATAGATATTGCCACAGCTATCATTGAACCAGCACACCAAATGCAGGATTATATTCATTCCTCCCCAAAGTGATTATCCTTCTAAATCTCACTAAATCAGCCATCGGTGATGCTTGCATTGAGATTCCGAGACTGTCAGCTCCCGTTGCTGCAGGTGCCCAAATGAAGTGTTTATATCTTCATTGCCTTCTTCTCCTGTTAGTCACCTAATAGCCTGTGAATATTCATTCCTAGCAACCATCAATAAATATAAGCAGCCTCTCTTTTCTGCTCTTCCTTCTGATTCCGACTATCCTGCTGTGACCCTGAACACCTGATTTGTTGACATGTTTCCCTCTCTTTGAATATTGATGTCTCTTTTTCACCACAGTCGTCTCTCAGGCTTTCATCCGACTCTCTCCCTCTCTGTCTCAGGCGTGCGCCGTATTCGGATTTAGGACCAGCCGGCTAAGCCAGTGTAGCGGCCGTTTTTTCATTTATTCACCCTCTGGACCAGAGCGCGGATAATTAGATTAGACCTAGCGAGAGCTGCAATAGAAGGAGGGGACTCATTCTGATTCACTGGACGAATAGCCAAACAATAGTATGCTGAGTTAATAGACTGCCCGTTATATGATTACTGTCCCTCATTTTTTAGACATTAAGAAATAATACGGGGGTTCATTGGAGCTGCTGCCACCGAGAGACAAAGAAAGAGAGATGATGGCTTGGTTTAGATAGCAGCTGCGCTTTAACGCTAGATGCTGTATAATAAGTTTTCCCATTTATCTCTGCTTCTCCCTTCAGGTCAGGCCTGTGTTGGTGTTGTGGAAACATCATTATCTGCGTCCATAGTTAATAGCTGCCTATTTACCACAAGATTTTTGTGCACGCTTCGTTTTTTTGTGTTGTCTTTTTTTCTTGAGCCATCAAACCAACAAACTGATGATTACATCTCCTTCTTTCGTTTACTCGTCTTATTTCTTGCTTGAGGCAAGAGAAGTAGATTTTTTTGTTTGTTTACAAATATTGACCAGCTGTCTGAAACAATAAGAATTTCAAATGGATTTTTTCAAATTGAGTGCAGTTAACATTACCGAGGATCGATTTTTCCTTCAAACAGATCGATCGGTGGACAGAGCGCATCTGTGTGAACTATGACTGCCTTAGACCGCGGCGTCGCTACGACCTCTGATCTATATTCCTCGTGTGTTTGCGCTGCTGTTTAGGTGGTCTTATGGGGTACTGCTGTGGGAGATCTTCACCTTGGGAGGCTCGCCGTACCCAGGGATTCCAGTGGAAGAACTCTTTAAACTGCTGAAGGAAGGACATCGAATGGATAAGCCTGCCAACTGCACCCATGAACTGTAGGTGTCTGCATGAGTATAAGTGTGTTGCCTTTGTTTACAGGAGGCTGTCCAGATGAGCCAAACAACAGCAGGTTACACCAGGGCCCTGTTATGTTCCTCAGTAATATTCTGTTTATCTGTCATACTGTCATACATTTGCTGACATTCCCAGAAAGCCATAACTTTATACCTCTTTTTTGAAGTGTTTTTTGTTAGGAGGGTTTCGATGTTTTAATGAGTTGTTCTGTCATTAAAATACTGTATTCATAATATGTTTGTATAAGGCAGGGGTGTCCAACTCCAGGCCTCAAGGGC